TACATTTGTGTGGTGATAGATTATTTCACCAAATGGCCCGAGGCATATGCAATACCAAATCAGGAAGCTACAACTATAGCTTCGGCTATTAGTGACTTCTTCTTCAGATTTGGTATGCCATATGAACTGCAATCAAATCAAGGCCGTAACTTTGAATCAGCTGTGTTCCAAGAATGCTGCAAGTTGTTTGGCATCCAGACCAGGACAACGCCACTTCACCCACAGTCTGATGGGATGGTAGAAAAGTACAATTGGACACTGGGACAGGAATTGGCAAAGTTTTGTAATAACCGCCAAGATGACTGGGATGTCTTACTTCCTCCACTGTTGATGGCCACTGTTGGGACGAATTGGATAACAGAACAAATGTCGCTGCTGAAGACGTGCCACCTGAAGAAGCCACCATCGAAGAAGAAACTCTACTCAGTTTTGAAAAGGGAAACGGTGAAGCTTTTGATGAAGTTACTACCACTGATGTGACTGTTATCGACGATAGGACTTTTCCTGATGAAGCAGATGAACCCCATATGAAGCAGAAGCCAACGAGAAGGAGACCAGTATGGAAGAAGATACGTCCCATAAAATTAAGAGACTTTGTTGAATTGTAATTTTGTGTTTGTAATTCTGTACAGTTTAATTAAGTTATTGTTAATTGTTATTGGTTTATTGTAAGTGGCTATTGTTTGGGACGAACAATACCTAGGAGGGGCAGTGTTGCGTCAGCAAGGTCACGTGACTCGTTCTCTCGAACCTTCGGGAATTGTCTGGAGATAACTAGACATAGGGTAGTCTGGTGTATATAAGAGGGTGACAACGTGACGGGACAATAATGTGTGTGTAGGTAGTGAGTAATTGATCTGCAGTGAGAAAGTATTGTCGAAGTTAACGTTCGTTATAGCGTTTGTTTAGCGGGAATGTTGAAATCAAGTGTTATATTCAGAAAGAATAAACCAGTTTTATTAAGTAAGGACTTGTGTCGCTAAAGTTTCGTCGGAACGAAGTTACGGAAAGTTAATTAACAAACGGAGACGTAACAATACAAATGGTATGAAAACTTGCTGTACTAAGATTAGGATGACACTTGTTTGAGCTTTCACACAGGTGTATTAAAGAAATAAGGCCAGCATTTAATAGTACAACATAAATATTTAAAATGAGACTGTCTCCAGTCTTAAAATACAATAAAAATTGTTTTACTTAATAATTTTACTGTATAAAGATAAACTAAAATACCGTGAGAGTGGGAACAGTTTCGTATACCCTTTAAATGTTTTGACATCTTACTGTGCCATCGTTAGGAGTGCAATATCTTGCATGACATAACACCTATATAGAATTTCAAAATCATATGATTAAACTTGTATACAATTTAGCTTAAAGAATTTCATGCTATCTATTAACAACATTTCCCTCTTTTCCTTCAACCATATTTAATACTTTAAGAATGTTTTTATTACATTTTATTATCTCAATAAATTCTTGGACATTATTACTATTGATGTTTGCAGGTTGTGCTAAAATAACAGTTTTTTCTTGTTTAATCAAATGTTTAGTTTCATTAGTATGTTCAGCTAAAGGCAAGATCTTGTATTATTATTTCTAAAATTTTGTGTTCATTTATTCTGTATTTTAAATTTCTTCTAGTTTGCCCAGTATAAATGTTTCCACATTTACATGTTATTTTATATATATATACCCAGTTTTTCATAAAATCATTTTATATTTAATTATATTAAGAATCTGGCTAATCTTGTTCATTGGTATATATATATATATATTGGAAAGATATTTTGTTGTCTTTTGAATTTTTACATTATTTGACAAGATAAACCAGGTATAAATACTAATGCAAGTTTTTCTTTCTTAACTTTTTTCAGCAACTGGTTTTAACTTAATATTTTTATCCCTGTATGTTAATTTTGTGACAGCTTTGAAATGATATCAGGATTAAAACCTCTTTCTATGATTACTTGATCAGTAATGACTAATTGTTAATATCTTCCTGTTTACAACATAATTTTATAATTCTATCCACATCAGAGGAAAAAGCAACAATTTTTTAAGAATTAGTTTGACATAATTTTTGATATGAGGACATGATTACTGAGAATGGTTTTGGAACATAGCAGTTTCCAGTTTTCCCTTATTTTTACTCACTAAAAAGTGCAATAAAGGTAAGCTGCTGTTTTCCGTAATTTCATATGTAAGTTTAATAGAAGTGTTATTGAGATAATTAGCAAAATCAATTAAATTCTCTTTACTATGCCACCATGTCAAAAACATGTCATCAGGATACCTTAACCAAATTTCCAGTTTTTTTGCTTTTCTTAATGCTTCAGTTTCAAAACTGTCCACAAGTAAGTCACATAATAACGGAGGTAAAGGAGAACCCATAGCCAAACCTTTGTTCTGTTTATATACTGAATCTTAATTTGAAAATACAAATTAACACATTCTTCAACAAGGTTAATCATATCAATTATTTCTAAAGCTGAATTCCCATTTTCTTTTAATTTATTCTGAAAACATGCAATGGGTTTTTCCACAGGTACTTTAGTGAACAATGAAACATCATCAAAAGACACTAAAATATCATTCTGATCTAGTGTTACATGTTTAATTCCTTCAGTAAATTCTAACAAATTTTTAACTGTGTATTTTTTTATCCTTGAAAAGGTTTTTCGTTGTACAAAACTTGAAGATAGCTTTGATATACGGAAACATCTGTTAACTTCTTGCACAGATCTTAAAATATAACGTTCATAAATGGAAACATCGGCTCACGTACATACGTAGATCTTGAAAGTCGAGTTGTTCAAAACTTGAAAATTGCATTGATAACTGAACCAATTGGTGGTTGAGATGTTGCAAAAGAAATATCTGCTGAAGCTTTTTGCCAGCCACTAATCATAGGAGAACCGTCTGGAAAATGATCTGTAGGAAATACTACAGCTTATAAAATGAGTCAGATCAATGTAGGCCGGTAAGGCAATCACTGATTGGCATGTCCTTTAGCCAATCAGGAAATGTCACAGACCTACTGAAGGATGTGTAGATTATATAGGAATTCTTTTTGGTGGCAAAGGACAGGTTTATGTGTTTTAATAAAGGTGGCTTCTAAAATAATTTCAAACATGCTATCCGTGTAGTTGTCAGCACAAGTCGATTTCACTAGTAGTAAATGCTGGCCAATCACTGATTCAGATTTTGGTGGTAGAAATTTTGTTTTACAGGAGCGACATGGTAAATTCTTTACTTTTACATTCTTAGTTCTTATGGATGTGGGTACATGTTGTTTAATTCTATCCTGCAATCTTTGTGAAGTGCAACCTACATACCGACATTCGCAGTGGCACGAGAATTCATAAATAACCATACTTTTCTGTGTGGTAGATATT